TTAGCATTAGCATATTATAATTATCATTATCATTAGTATTAGTATATTATAATTATCATTAGCATTAGCATTAACATGTTATGATTATATGATTCACATTAGCATTAGCAGTATGAATAGGATTAGCCTTACGATTCTGATTAGAATTAGAATTAACATTAGCATTAGGATTATGATTCGTATTACGATTAATATTATGATTTGGATTAACATAAGCATTAGCATTGCCATTAGCATATTCGGATTAGGATTAGCATTAGCATTAACATTAGCATTAGCATTAGCATATTAGAATTAACATTACCATTAACATTAGAATTACAATTATGCTTAGAATTAGAATTAGTATTAACATTATGACATTATGATTAGAATTAGGAGTATGATTATGATTAGCATTAGCATTACAATTGGCATCAACATATTAGGATTATATTAACGTTAGCATTACCATTACCATGAACATTAGCATTAAAATATTAGGATTATGATTAAGATTAGAATTAACATTAGCCCTAACATTAGCATTAACATTTTAGTATTATTGTGTTGGGATTAGCATTAACTTTAGCATTAGCAGATTATAATTAACATTAGTATTAGCATTAATATTAGGATTAAGATTCACAATAACATTAGCATATTAGTATTAGCATTAACGTATTAGTATTAACATTACCATTAGCGTGTTATTATTAGTTTTAGTGTTATGATTAGGATTATAGTTAGGATTATGAGTATGATTAGTAGTAGGATTAATCTAAGATTATGATTAGTATTAGAATTAGAATTTGGATTATATAATTAGCATAAACATTAGCCGTAATATTAACATTAACATATTTTAATTAGTAGATTAAGATTAGCATTAGCGTATTATGATTAGCATTAGCTACATCATTAACATTAGCATTAGAAATATGATTAGCATTAGCATTAAAATATTAGTATTAACATTAGCATGTTAGTATTAGCATTAGCATTAACGTATTATTATTAATATTAGTGACAGTGTACTTATTAGGAGTATGATTAGTATTAGGATTATGCTAAAGATTGTGATTAATATTATGAATAGGATTTGGATTAGCATTAGCATTAACATTAGCATATTATAATTATGATAAGCATCAGCATTACGTATTATAATTATGATTCGCATTAACATTAACATTAGTATTAGAATTAGGATTAGCATTAGGATTGAAATAAGAATTATAATTAGAATTAATTTTACCATTAGGATTAGTATATTAGGTTTAAGCTGATGATTAGGATTAACATTACCATTACATTAGCATATTAGGATTAGAATTAACATTACTATTAACATTAACATTAACATTAAATTAGAATTACGATTAGTATTAACATTATAATTAGAATTAGCATTAGCATTAGCATCAACATATTAGGATTATGATTAATATTAGCATTAGCATTACCACGAGCATTAGAATTAACATATTAGGATAATGATTAGCATTAGCATTATCCTTAGCATTAGAAACATGATTAGGATTATGATTAGGATTAGAATTATGATTATGATTGGGATTAGTATTAGCATTATCTTTAGCATTAGTGTTAACCTTAGCATATTAGTGTTAGCATTAGCATAATACTATTAGCAAATTACAATTATAATTAACATTAGCAGATTATGATTAGCAGTAATATTAGGATTATGATTAACATTAGCATTAACATATTAGTATTAACGTTACCATTAGCATTATCATTAGTGTGTTATTATTAGTAATAGTATTAGTAATAGTGTTAGGACTAGGATTATGATTATGATTATGATTATGATCAGTATGAAGATTAGGCTAATGATAATCATTAATACTAGGATCAAAATTTGGATTAGGATTAGCATTAGCATTAGTATTAGCATATTATAATTGTCATTAACATTAGCGTAGTAGGATTTGCATATTATAATTATCATTGGCATTAGGCATTGGAATATTAGTATTAGGAAATTATAATTATCATTAGCATATTAGTATTAACATTACCATTACTATTATCATTAGCGTATTAGTATTAGTAATAGTGTTATGATTAGAACTTGGATTGTAATTATGATTAGTATTAGGATTTATCTAAGGATTATGATTAATATTAGGATTATCAGTATCATTAGCCTTAGTATTAGCCTATTAGTATTAACATCAGCTTATTAGTATTAGCATATTACGATTAACATTAACATTAGCATTGGTAGATTATGGTTAGCATTAGCATATTATTATTATTAACCTTACCATTGGCATTCGAATTAGTATTAGCATTCACATTCGCATTAACATTAGCATGGCATTGGCCTTAATATTAGCATTGGCATTAGCATTAGCATTAGCATTGACATTAGCATTAGCATTAGCATTAGCATTAGTATATTAGGATTTGTATTAGTATTAGTATTAGTATTAGTATTAGTATTAGTATTAGTATTAGTATTAGTATTAGTATTAGTATTAGTATTAGTATTAGTATTAACATTAGTACTAGCAATAGAGGTGGCATGGATATGTCACAATGTCGAGAGTTAAGAGTAGATGTGGCATAAAGATACTCATCAAGTCGGAATCTAGACTCTGATGTTAATTGCAATCTTGTCTACAAGGAAGCTTTTCAGCGAATATGAATTTAGATCATAAAAAATGTACATTGTGATTCAACTACACATTTTCTTTTTATTATTTATATGAATAATTAATTTTTCAGTCTTAGATATTTTTGCACTTTATATCAATTTTATTGTCAACTCCAATGAAGTTCCTTTTTATCAAGATAATATAATATAAATTGTATTTTTTTTCTTACACTTTTATGTTATCATTTATGTTTCAGTAATGCGTATTACAGATTGCATATGAATAACAAAAAATGAGCAGGTTACTCTCAATGTATTAGATAAGTTATAGGTGATGTCAATGCATCTGTTATAAAACACTTTTTGATAACTAAGTTTCATGTTAATGATCCGAGTGCATCAGATGAGATAATTGTAACAATTGGGTCAACTGATATATCTTTTTTGCTCCCATTAATGAAAGTGTCAGTTTTGTGAATAATATTTTTTTGTCGATCATACCTGGAGAGGAGAAGGTCTATTTCAGCTCTGATAGTATGTGCAAGGAGGAGTTATTATCGGATGTTAACGCAAAAATATATTCTCCGGAGTTTCTCAACACCATATCATGCACCGGAATTCCACCACATAAGTTGACATTGAAAAAAAGTGTTCCCGTTATGCTCATCAGAAATATTGATCAGATCAGAGGATTGTGCAATGGAACAAGGCTTCAAGTTATTAATATTACTCATTTGTAGGTTTATTTTAATTATACTATGAACTTGCTATGGGCTCCGCTCACTATATTTTATGAAGGTAATTTTTTTACAGTGATTTTATGCCATTAAACAGTTATATTGGTATTCATTTGATAACAATTTACCTATTTTCGTACGATCATGTACAACATATGCAGATCAGTTGCATTGTATTGAATTTGTTGCATGCGTTTAGGGCGGTTGGTATGAAACAAAATAACATTGATTGTTTGGATCAAATTCAAAATTTCAACGTTCATATGTCATTATGGTTGTACAAGTTTGGGACCAACGATATATTCGTTCTTATTGCGAGGAAATTAAAACTTTCAAAATTTAGATTTTTCATTCATTCCGGCTTATTTCATCTCTTATACCATACAAATTAGTTTTTTTTTTAATATTTTCTACTTCTTTGTATTGCATATCAACAATTGATCTTACTATTTTGAGAACCTTTTTATTACTCAATATTTTATTTATGATGAATACCCCGTGCATCGCACGGGTGTAGTACTAGTTAGAACTAAATGACAAGTCTAACTAAAATTTGTTTCACATCCTTTATTAAATTCATTCCAAAAATATCCCTCCACTCACAAATTCGAAATTACACCAAATTGTAAATATACTATGATGAACTATGATATTATTTAACATTTTTAAGTTTGCATCTAGCATTTTTTTTTTATTTCTACGCGAAACACGTTTTTTTTCTCGTTTTTTTTCATTATATAAAAATATATTTTTTTCCCATTCTTTTCTACATAAATTGAAAATTATGATTTTCTTAATTTTTTCGATCGTAGACAGCTACAGAAACACATAGGAAGCCGTAGTAATCAGTAGTCACCCACATATATCTTGAAACCCTAACTCCTCCTACAAACCCTAGCCGCCAGACACCCATGGACATCCAAATTGATTTTTTTAAATTTTCCCCACCAAACCCTAGATCCGCTCCTCCACCACCACTATCCACTACCACCATCACCGAGCGCCGCCATCACGCCATCATCCATGCCCAACACCGTCGCCGCCCCTTCTACCATAGATCTGACCTGACACCACCATAGCCGATGTCTCCTTGTCGCTACAACCATCATCTTATTGCCGCCGTCTCCACCGCCATAACCACCGCGAGAAAGATATATCGAAAAAAAAAAAATATATATATATATATATATATATATATATATATATATATATATATATATATATATATATATATATATATATAGAGAGAGAGAGAGAGAGAGAGAGAGAGAGAGAGAGAGAGAGAGAGAGAGAGAGAGAGAGAGAGAGAGAGAGAGAGAGAGAGAGGAAAAAATTAAAGAAAAATAAATCTGAGAGACAGCGAGAGAGCGAGAGAGAAGAAAAATAACGTCGTGACTTTTATGGACTTAAGTTAAGGGTAAATTAGGAATAAAAGAAAAATTGAGGATATGACTTATATTTATTTTTCCAAAAAAGATTTAGTTCATAAAAAAATATTAAGGTTGCATAAGTATTCCACATCTAATTATGTTTCCAACTAGGGACCTCTAGCATATTACCCCTTAAATTTAACCATGGCTAATCTCTCCAACCAAACGAGCACGATACTACATTTTAATACTTTCAAATCCAGCACAATTAAAACTTAGTTCAAATTGTAAGGTAAGAATTCAAAATCTATTGTAATCATCCAAATAAATTCAAACGATTTGGTTTTACAGATTGAAATCCATAAATGATCTCCACAAACATTGTCATTGTAATTTAACAACACTGTACACAAATTACAGTATTACAGTATATATAGCATATAAAAAAAGTCAGTTCTTTAACAACATTTGATCCCCCATTCAATTTAACCACCCCATATTGTGTTAATCAACCATGGTTAGTCGCAAGGTTATGCTTGTTCGTATCCTTTTTGAGAAGTTGAAAAGGCAAGACTTTGATCTTTCTTTCTTCACCAAAAAATGAACCCCCCCCCCCCCCCCCGGTGATTTTGTTGAAGTAGAAATCAACGGACACAAAATCAATCAACCGATGGATCTCACGATCAAGCTGCTTTCCTCTTGTCTTCAAGAATCGAGCCCTCTTTAAGTGCTATTTGTGCCTCGTTTTCTCTCCCCAAAGCGAAAAGAGCAGAAGCTTGCAAATAGGAAGCAATGTGCCAGATGGGAGATATAATTTGCGCTTGAACTGCATCGTCGAGCGCTTCCTCGGGCATATCGCTCATGAGGTGTGATAAACTTCGACGAGCATACATGGTCGGGGAAACCATAGTTCCAACTTCAATAAACTGCACACGAAAAAAAAAAACTAATAACCTGTCTATTATATTACTCTTTTAGATAAATCCGAATAATAAGACAGTTCAAAAAGGGATGGGATTGATAAGATTGGTTGGATTAGTTATCAGAATATGCCAAAATTAGGCTTGTGTAATCATAGGGGTCGAGTTTTGACTAAATATAAAACCCGGGTTCGTTTTTAATCATCAGCTCGAAACCTAAACCCGAAAACATTTGACAGAAGCTTGATTAATATTGTGTATTAAACCTAATCATGATTCCCGAACAGGGCCGAATGTTCTAACCTGTGTGTAGCATTCAATTGCAACCTGAAAATCTTTATTGCGAAAAGCTAAATCACCCTTCTTCTTTGAGTTCAATGTTTCCTGCATTTGATTCGTCCACATCTGAAACGAGAGCTGGATAAAGGAAATAATAGTTTGTTATTATCGAGACTGATTATTTAGCCAAAAAAAAATGGTAATACAGATTATTGTGCAAATATATAATGATAAATAACAAACCTCAGTAGCTGCTCCCTCGTCATCTTTGTAGCCGAGTTTATCCAAAATCTCGTGTATGGCAGTTAAATCTTTTCTTAGGCATGCTTCACCGAGGGCTGACAGAGGTACAACATCTCCACCTTGAGGTAGACCCATCAATACATGTGAAGGAATCTGCAATACGTATTTTTAAGTTTAATAAAAAATCGCTATATAAACCATAATGACACCAAATATTTAGATATATGTATGTGTATGCATGCATGCACAACAAGATCGAGTAATTACCGTTTCCCTAAATTGGTTATCCTCGACGATCTTTACAATATTAATCAGACATAAAATTATGCAGCAATTTCAGTATTCAAATCAATATTGCAAATTTATCGTTCTTCATGGCAGATGAGAAAAAAAATCAAATCAATTTGATTTTATTTAATTGCAGATTCTGTCGTTTGTATCGACTAGCATGAATGTTGTCAAACAGAAGGCATGAAAGCCACGGAAATAATTATTCACAATGTTTTAAGTCATCAGAGTTTAGAAAAGAACCAAACCTCAGTTTCCTTCTGAAGAGGGATTAAAGCAGTAACCAATGATTTAGGATCCGGCCTCTCACGGGATTCATATTGTAAACATCTCGAAGCTAAGCGTACTAACTCAGTTCTGTCATCGTTCGAAAATTGACCTTCCAAGCAAGAATCGGTCAACATTTGGAAATTTCGATCCTTAATCAAATCAAGGGCCTGACACCACAAAAATCGACAACACTAAGTAAATAAATAAATAACGATTATGCAATACGAAAAATAAAGCTACCATAAAAAAAAGACTTACATGACTTGGTGGAATGTGTTTACCGCTGAGGAGGTCGAGCAAGAGCGTGCCGAAGCTGTATATTACACTTTCCGGTGTAACTCTACCTATACGAATTACGAGGATTGAGGTGTCAATAGTTTAACAATCTCGAATACAATACTATAGTGACATAACGAGTTTAACGGACTTCAATAGAATATCTCAATACAGAAAATACACAAACCCGTATAGTGTACACTAATATGTAGACTCGACAGAAAAAAAGAAAAAAAAAACCGAGAGAGAGAGAGAGAGAAATGATTAGTAAGAATATGCATATGCATTGGATATTAACCTAAATGCATCAGTCTTAAATTGAGAGTCATCATTAATGTGCGCCAGATAATAAAAATCAAAATCGTTGAATTTTGGTGGAATATCCTCCATAATGCATGCAATTGGAGTAGAAAATTCTTCTTTTGGTAGTGAGATTATGTTCATACCAGTCCTTAGATACTCAGGGGGAGTAAATGCCAAGTTAGTACTGTAGCTCTTTCCGTCTCTACTGTTCTTCATCAAACCAAAGCACGACAGTTTCGGATTTCCCTCCTGTTCATAAAACTGTGTCAGTCGTCTCACAATTCAGACAAATAGTCAAAGTCAAACTAATACCATGAAACTCCGTGCTTACATCATCAAAGAGTATTCTGTAGGCATTCAGATCATGGTAAAGAGAGCGCCCTTTGCTTGTACAGTATTCTAATGCTTGCGCGATGTACAAAACTACCCTTAACCGCATGGCCCACTTCATAGGATGTGCTTCCCCTGAAGGTAGTTTAAACATTGTAAAATTCGATAAAAAAATATTAAGGGAGATGAATCCCAATGTGATAGTCGACATATATGTTCAATATACGTGTCGACTAAAATTTTCTTTACTTGAGGAAATTTGAGAAAGATAAGGCTCTCAAAATAAAACTAAAGTAGCCCGCGACGAGTAAAAAGTAATTCCACGTGAATTGTTCTTCCACCCTAGGCAAACTAAATTAAAGTCTAAACTGTTTACGGTATCTAAAGCATGTCAACAGTTTTTGGCGCCTAAGTTTCTAATTAAGCAGAGATTCATTAAAAGGCGAAATCGAGGCTATACTTTAGGTTAAAGAAACTTTACTACGTAAATATAACACCTTTGTTTTTTAACAAACGGGAACCCACTCTACATGCGGAGTGACAGAAACATGAAATTTACGAAAATTCAACTTTGAATTGGAATAATTACCCGAAAAAAAAAATTTCACCTTGCATGAGATGTACTTACAGTGAAATAGATGTTTAGCAAGTGTCTCATTGGGCATAAATTCAGCGACAAGTAGTCTCTCGTCGCCTTCACAGCAGCAGCCAAGCAAGTTAGCCAATCTATTGTTCCGTAGTTGACCAACAGCTCTCGCTTCTTCCTGAATGTTTTAATTAAATAATATTTAATGCATTCGATTATAGTAATAACTAATAAACACGAAACTCAATCCTGCACAAAGCTACAAAGAGCACTAAGTGAAACCACACAAAATAATATGTGCGACGGCGAAACAATTATTCTAAACAATCAAGTACCATATATCATCAATGTTACAAAAATTAACATAAAAAGATAATTATTTTTAATGGAAACATTACCAAGAACTGGCGAGAATCGGGCCAAGCAGATCTGTTAAATCGCTTGACAGCTATACGTCTCTGATTATCTAATTTGCCAGAATAAACCACATTAGGAGCTTTTTCGCCATGTTCCGAAACTATGTTCTGTGCTGCAAAGCCGGACGTAGCAATCCTCAGTTGTTCGACTGAGAATTCACGAAATGCGGGCAAATCGCTGGTTTCGCTTTTCTCCTCATTTTCTGCATCAGAATATTATTGAATTATTCCACAAAATAAAATCCGACTTCTTGACAGCTCATAAGATTCGAAAATTACGAAATAAAAAAAATAGAAAAAAACTTTTCTAAGTTTTAACCAACCAGCATTACTGCCTGCATGAGAAGGTCCATTGCGCTTCGATATAAAACAACACCAGGAGAGTTTTGAACTACAACAACCCATCTCAGCAAGAGAAACGAGAATCAAAACTTCGCCAAAAAAACGACTATTTCCTGCGCTCAAAGTCTGTCCATCTTACTTAAGCCTGCAACGTAAATCGAAATTATATTTCATATAATTAAGACGTCTCAAGTACGCAAGCTGCAGTATATTTTACTTACGAACACTAACGGGTGATAACTGAAATCAGAAAACACGAGCCCTCAAGTACATACTGCCCTAATGAATATTTTTACAAGATCGGAGAAATTCATAATAGCAACCATAGAATTACAATATACTAACTGGTAATCAACTGGGTTATTAATTATTCAGCACCAAACACAAACAAATTCAATATGCAAATATGCTTCAGCTGATAATATAAAACCACAAAACCAGATTTATTAAAAATTAACCCACAACAAAAACCCATTACTTATTTCAATTTTTATCAATCTATATAAGAAGATAAAGCACAGCAGTTCTTCAATCACATTTACAGTTTAAAAATCTCGAGAAATTTACCTATAATGAAGATTCGAAGATCACGGATTAACTAATGCAACAATTCAGCAAATCTTCTGAGTCAATCTTAACAACTCACCCAGTAAATCAGAGTCCACAAAAAAAAAATCCAGAAAACCCTAATTCCCCCAAAAAAATCATATAAGAGAAAAAACTGGGAGCTTAGATTGTAGATATAAACAACTTTATAAATGGAGGTTCGTTGACCAAGCTCGATTTGGTCAAAGCACAATGTGAAAGTTGCTGGTTACTACTGCGTGTGTGTGTGTGAATCAAAAAAGAGAAATAATTGAAGGGGCATTTGTGTGTAGACCGTTGAACTTTAATAAGTAATTAAGTACTATATCCTATAAATATTAATTATATCCTATATATATACATATAAATATTAATTATAATATTTTCCCAATCTCCACCGACAAGATAAAATTCATTATTGTTTTCTTTTATTTTCCTTTTTGTCTTTTATTATCATTTTGTGTTTATGATTCATATGTCCAATTAAACATTTGATTCACATTATTTATTAAATTCATTCCAAAATTATTATTCGTGTGTACAAAAAGATATAAAAGAAAAGTTACGCTAATAAAATATTCAGACTGCATTTATTATTTTCCTCAATCTAATGTATGATATTATTTGTTTCCATACATATCATGAAATTTGAAGTATCTCGGAGAAGACAATTACATTAGATTTTATGTAATAAATCGATATGGATTTTCGTGTAATTGTTCTCTCAAACGAGTAGTACGTCTTGTTTATACGAACTCTCACCGCCAAATTGATTATTGGCCGCCACAATTAAGTAGGGCATATCCGAAGCCCAGTAGCTCAATTCAATTTTAATTGAGTTTAGCCTAGACGATTGTTTGGAGTCAAATTCGGGCTTATACAACTCAACCAACTTAAATCTCATTAATAATTAATTTAAATATTTTGATGAACATTTAATAGGATTTTTTAACTAATTATTTTAGTTTGACAGGTTCCTTGGGCTTCACTATATCGGGCCATAAACCTTAAGATATTGAAAGCCCACAAAGATAATGCCCAAATGATTAACTATAAAAGTTCTTCGACGAGCTGAAGACCTGTAAAGCTTTCTTACGAGCTGAGCTCTCCGATGAGCTGAAGACCTAGAAAGCTCTATGACGAGTTGTGATCTATGACGAGCTGAGCTCTATGACGAGTTGTGCTCTTCGACAAGCTGAGCTCTCCGAGGAGCAAACTGAGGATTGCATACAAAAGTAATAAGTGTGCTTTGACCACTTTGACCATAGGGTTTCATCTCCTTCTTTTATATATATATATATATATATATATATATATATATATATATATATATATATATATATATTATTCATCTTCAACAAAAAGATACATTCACTATTTCCTCTCATAGCACTTAATCTCTATGATATTTGCTTATGATTCTTGGAGGTCTTCTAACTTGTGCGCTGAAGTGCTAATGTCGAAAGTATCCCGCCGGCCCATTTTGCAGGTCCATGATGCACAACCTAAAGTTGAATGACTTTAAAAATCTCTATATTTAAGTTTTAAGTAAATACATGGAAATTCAAAAGAATATGTAAAAGGGTGGAGCCTTTTTATTTGTATTTTTAATTTAGGTGGCAACGAGCAAAATGCGAGGGAACAAAGTGCCATTAACCCTTTTATTTATACAACTAAAACTAGTTTACAAAAGCACTTTGCTAATGAATAAGGTGGTGTTTGCAAAAACTTTTTGTTAACCTCAAATTTAAATGTCTGCAAAATAAATTACAAGACAAGAAAAAATAGGAATAAATAAATATATTTTAATCAAAACGAAATGGGTTACAATCTTTGTTGATTCCTCTGATTCTTCTCCTAGATATAATCCAAGGGCCGAAACTTGTTCTTGAATTGAGAGCTTGATTCCACCATTGATTTGCGGAAGTAGATATGAATATCTAGAAATCGATTTGGGGATTTCTAGATCTTGTGGATTTGGTGCCTTGATGAAGATGTAGAACCTCCGCGGTTGTTGTTCTTCGTCGTGGCGAGAGCTCGAGACTTGAGAGCTTTTGAGTGCTTGATGTACGCCTTGCTTGATGCTTTGATGTTCCTTGATATGAGGATATGTGTTGTGTATCTTGATATGATGAAGTGTTGAAGACCTCCTTTTTATGGGCTCGAGTTAGGGTTTCATGACTTGAAACTTGGACTGCCAGAGTTGGACACTTGCAACTTATTTTATGTGGGCTAGCTTTAGGCCCAAATAATTAACCCAAGTGAATATGATTTGTCACTTATTTTTGAGTTAATCCACATAGAATGTTTATGAAATCCAAATTTATCATTGACTTTACATAAAGCCCAAATTTAGTATGGACTTCATTCCAAGATCCAAATTTACAACCAATATTGGGCTGTTAATTTGTAATATAATCACGAAGGTTTGATAAAGACCGAATTTGTTACGGGCTCCGATTTGAGACGATCCAAATCAATAACCCATTTATTTGGGCTATTAATTTGTAATTTAATCATAAAAATTTAACATCAACACTTTTAAAAATAGATTATGAGCTTTTTTGTCATATAATCTATTTTTAGGTATTTGCAAAATCGCCTTTTGCTTTTGCTTCTCTTAAAATAAGCTGTTTTAAGCTATAATTTTAAAAGCAGCTATGTGTCTGCTTATTCTATTTTAGTTAATTTTCCAGATTTTTTGCAAACACTCCCAACTTTTAGAATTAAGCACTTTATATCAATTTAACTCACAATCACTAACTTATGATTTTAAATAAGCTTTTGCAAACACCACCTAAATATTTGAACTTACACTTATTTTGAAAAAACTTTTAACATTTTTTTCATTGATTTAAATCATTCGAATTATCTTATATTAGCCATGGCATTGATATTTAAATATTATATTAACTTAAAAAAAAAGTAATTTTTATGATATTTTCAAATATTTGATATTTTAATTAGTTTTATCATATTTCATATGAAGTTTAAATATTTATTTAACATTAGTTTTAACTTTTATGCTATGGCCTACATGAGAATTATGCCTGAATGAGAGAACTTTTGGAATTACTTTAAAAAATATTTAAGAAAAACTTTAACAAACATAAAATTAATCACCACTAATTGTCAAAAATTGCTTCTTAATTAACATCTATTTATCACGGACATGCAAATGGTGATACGAGAAAATGAAGAAACAGACATGGGACAACATATCAAAAAAAATGGAGATAATAGAGTTTGGGGGAAAACGTGCAAATATTAAAATTGTAGAAGTATATTTATAAATATGTTACATATACATATATAAATTTTTATTTGTATATAAATTCTTTTTCATATATTTTCGTACAAACATATTCGAAATAAATTTAACTATCAACTATCAATTGATCATTAAATTTTGTAAATAACTAGGGATGTAACAAAAGTATTTGAAAATTTGCTGAAACATGCTTCCAACTTTTTAAAAATTGCAAATTGGCCCATAAGGTGTCTGACAGGCGACAAGTGTCCTCGACTTCGCAAACGTGAAGAAGTTGAAGTTTCCGTGCTTCATAAATTAACATTGTTATTTAAAATAACTAGCAGTTTTTCCCTCGTGCGATGCATGAGATCTTATTTTAAAAGTGAAAAAAAAATCAATTTATTACATAATAAGAAAATATAGTATACTAAAATAGTAAAATTGAATAATGTAATATTATATGAGTAAACTGCAAATACTACCCCTGTGTTATCTCGAAATAGCAAAAACCCCCCTGTGATAAATAAACTAGCAAAAACCCCCCTGTGAAATTTATTCAAAGGCAGAATCCCCCCTAGCTGATTTTTTAGACTTGAAATGACAAAATTGTCCCTCAAAATGTATTTATATATATACATATTATATGTATATTTATTCTTTTTAATTTATTTGTTTAGAAATTAAAAAAATAGTAAACAACTAAATTGATTATTTTTTAAATAAAATAATTAAAATATTTATAAAATATAAGAATTTATTAATTGCAAGACTTCAGGGGTATTTGTGTCTTTTTATATCAAGTGAACCCTCAAATAGTTCCACAGGGGGGTTTTTGCTATTTAAATAATTTCACAGGGGAGATTTTTGCTAGTTTATTTATCACAGGGGGGTTTTTGCTATTTCGAGATTATACAGGGGTAGTTTTTGCAGTTTACTCAATATTATATATAACACTTTTTTTTAAATCTTACATATTAAGATTTATAATCAAAATTAGAGAAAAATAAATAACTACTGAATTACCATTAAGGTAGAATTCTTTACCGTTTAGTTTTAATTTTGATAATTGTAAAAAATTATAGTTAGAAATTAGTGGAAAAAAAATATTAAAGATAAATAATTATAGAAATATCATTAGAGTATAACAAAAAAAATATAAATAAATAAACAAACATTGTTATTGTATTTATCAGACGTGCGGTGCGACTTAAATACATGTGTGCATCGGGGATCCCCAATTAGAACCCTAATTCCCCTTCTAAAGTCCACCGAAGCGGTTTCTTTCCTCCCAAACGAGCATTATCAAACTCACGCGAGACAAAGCGCGTGCCAAACACTACTCTCCACTAGCCGTTCGATTAAATCCCTAGCAGGCACGAGATGCTCACGTGCAGGAAGATCAGCGCTCTCAATCTACTACCCCTTTCTGCACCTTTTAGACGGTTGTACATTTAGGACATTTAATTACCCAGGTTTCAATTTTTCACGTGCTCTCAATTGAAAGGTACAACCGAAACAAGCAGACGAAATCACCGATCCCTAATTTGGTAAATTTCTTCCAATTCCAGAACCCGCAAAATACAGTCAGGCCCCTGTTTTTTTAACCTAATACAGTACGAAATCCATAACTAAAACCCCTTACATTCCAACTACTTCCTTTTCAAATTCGCGCACACAGATATACATACACACACTGTGTGTGAAATTCTGATACCGACTGTTGGTAGAGAGAAGCACCTGGTGTTTTTCCTTTTTTTTTTTGGGGGAAAGGTATTCCATTTTATTTGATTTTGATCGTTTTCTGTTTACCGCGGCTGGTGATTTTAATTTTGTGCTGGAATTTTCTGCTTCTGTAGTTAGGGAATTACTGTTTTTTATTTTATTTTATGTGCGAATTCCGATATGGTATAGTTTGAGAACAAATGATGGGGAGAGGGAGGACGAGGAAAGTTGAGAAGGGGGTTTTAGGGGGGAATTTAAATGGAGGTTTGTCAGGTGGTTGTGGTGGTTCGTTGAGTGTGCCTTCGGGGCCGGTGTTTTATCCGACCGAGGAGGAATTCAAGGATCCGTTGGAGTTTATATACAAGATCAGACCAGAGGCTGAGCCCTATGGGATTTGTAGGATTGTTCCACCGGCAAGTTGGAAACCCCCTTTTGTGTTGGACATGGATTCGTTCCGTTTCCCTACGAAATCGCAGGCCATTCACCAATTGCAGGCGCGGTGTGCGCCTTGTGATCCCAAGACTTTTAGGTTAGAGTACAACCTGTTCTTGGAGGATCATTGCGGTAAGAAGGCGAAGAAGAGGGTTGTGTTTGAAGGGGAGGATTTGGACTTGTGTAAGTTGTTTAATGCGGTGAAGAGATTTGGAGGGTACGACAATGTTGTTAAGGAGAAGAAATGGGCGGAGGTTTTTAGGTTCGTACGGCCGGGAGGGAAGATATCCGAGTGCTCAAAACACGTGTTGTCTCAGCTGTATAGGGAGCATTTGTTTGACTACGAAGAGTATTATTGTCGATTGAATAAAGTAAAGAAAAAGAGCTGCAAGCGCAGTGTGACTAGTTCGAAGAAATGTGAGCCAGAGGTTGAGGTTTCGAGTGGTAAGAGAAGACGGAAAAACAAAGAGGGTGAGAGGATTGAAGTACTTAAAGTAGAGAAACAAGAGCTTGATCAGATATGTGAACAGTGTAGTAGTGGGTTGCATGGGGAAGTTATGTTGTTGTGTGATAGGTGTAATAAGGGATGGCATATATATTGTCTGTCTCCACCATTGAAGAGGATTCCTCCAGGAAACTGGTATTGCTTAGAGTGCTTGAATTCAGAGAAGGATAGTTTCGGTTTTGTGCCAGGCAAGCAGTTTACGCTTGAAGCTTTCAGGCGTGTGGCTGACCGGGTCAAGAAGAAGTGGTTTGGATCAGCACCTACTTCATGGGTTCAACTCGAAAAGAAATTCTGGGAAATTGTGGAAGGTTCAGCTGGAGAGGTGGAGGTAATGTACGGCAGCGATTTAGATACGTCTGTTTATGGGAGTGGATTTCCTCGTCAAATTGATCAAAGGTCAGAATCAATTGAACCTGATGTTTGGAATGAGTATTGTGCTAGCCCATGGAACCTCAATAACTTGCCTAGATTACAAGGATCAATGCTTCGGACCGTGCATCAGAACATTGCAGGAGTTATGGTACCGTGGCTCTATGTTGGGATGCCATTCTCGTCATTTTGCTGGCATTTTGAAGACCATTGCTTTTACTCAATGAATTATCACCATTGGTACGTAATTGATTGAATCTTATAACTTTTAGCTGATATCATCTTGTGAATCCTATTTGGTTTTCTTGTCTTCAATGTTTAATCTCATACTCTACTACGAGGAGAAAAGCATAGTCATAAGCCATTGCATGCACAAAAATTGGATTATTCTGCGCATTAAGATTAGTAAAAAATTGTCGATTCAATGAACCGAAGAGCAGCGTGGTAGTGCAAAACTATTGCTCGATGTACATTCTCTGTTATAATGTGTAGAAGAATCATAATGACATGTTTCAACAGTTCCTTGTATTTTTGTTGTCTGAAGCAATTTGCTCATTTTCAATCTGTAGAATCATGTGCCTTCTGCAATATAATATCTATAGTATCTGGATAGGTGTGAGATCATGTGATTGTATAGTGCAGTTACATGGTCACATTTTCGACGTTGAATATATCTCTTTCAATACCAATATTATTCTTATCGAGTTGTTTTATGTAGAAAAAGCTCAGCAAATAAGTTTATGGTTGCCATGTTATGTAGAACCCAATATTGTATCAATTATGTCTTATTTACTGGTTTAAGTAATAACAAACCAAATGCAATTTCTTTCCCTTCACCATAGCTGCTGATTTGCTGGTTTTAGTCAAAGATATGTACAAAATATAAGAAAGAAAGTTTGATGCATTCTTGTCTCAGTTCGGGCTAATTATAGATAATCAAGGTGGGTCAGTTGGCATAATGTCTCCGACAAACTTATTTGGTTGTTGACATCGGAAGGTGGTTACCAGACTTTATTAGGTAGGGATTGATAGCCAAGAAATGATAAGATGGTGATTTAGTTACATAATAATGATTCAACATCTCATCACCTCCTAAAAGCTGTTATCAGATGTAGGAGCTTATAAGATGTTCAAAATAAGTTTAGCTAAACGGGCTCTAAGCCTACACTTTTTGTGTCAGTGGTATGGCAATGCTATATTTCACCTGAAAATTTCTTCAAACAAGATAATTGCTTCCCTTCTCCTAGTTGACACAATGTGGTTATATATTTGTGGATCTTAATCCTCATCTTTAAACCAGCCACAACAACGATTCTCTCTTCCGTTTGTAGCTTACCAGCTTGTAGGCGAATGGACTTAGTGTGCTTGTATGTATATGAATTTTGTGCAACAAGTAATCTTCTATTCAAACCGTTTCATCAGCGAAATTGCTTTGGTTTTTTTTTTTAACTTGGAATGATCTTGTTAAATGTGTCATAGTAATCATGTCCTAGTGTCTCAATATCCTTAAACTCTAGCTTACTTTTAGTTTAAAATGTGTTTGTCCGAGTATACTCGTTATTGAGATCCTTACTGCAGAAAGTAAATATTGCTAAATAGATTGTACCGAACCAGTATAAATTGCATATTTCGTGTTGTTGTCGGCAGAGTCTAGAATACAACGAAACAGGTGCATTTATTTTCTTTTGCTCTTGCTTAGACGGGAAACCGCTAATATAGTACCAATAAGATGATGTCATAGCTCTTGCCCAACTTTATTGGATAGCTGGGAGGAAGGTCATTCTTCAAGGCATTTAATTCTTGTGCGGATTATACTACCTATAGCTCTAAATGAATCAAAAAAGGCTGTGATATTGCTCAAGATCTTAAAATCAGTTTTCCACCTGTTTGTTAAATGCCTGATGAAGTTCTTGCATTTATAGGAAAATACCTGTTATAATCTTTTTAGCTGAACTGAATTATAGACTTAGAGCAACTCCAGTGGAGTTATTAAATGGGGTATCAAATCCCTTAACCTCTAATTGATTCCCCAAATTTAAAAACTTTATCCTCCAATGGAGTTGTCAAAATGGGGTTTTATTTTAATAATTCATCTATTGGTAAGCAAAAATACATCCTAGATAAATAGTTATCAAATATCACTAATATATAGGACCACTATTCAACCTTAAAAAAAACTCAACGGGATTGAGTTTTTTATTTGGGTCTTCAACAAATTTTAAAATATCTCTCTGACTATGAAGAAAACTAAAATCTAGTCATAAATTGTTTGAAGTTTGATTTATATGTAATCACTATTGTGGTACAATTGAGTCAAATTCTTTTTCCATTGAAGAGATTTATTTATAGTGAACTACTTCAATTCTAAATCTCAGTTTTGCCGAATACACTGATTCACATCATCAACTTTTTTTCTTCCTTTTTTCTTCCTTTCATTAGATTGTTGATTATTGATTTTGGTGAAAATTTACCAAAAAGAAACGATTAGTGTGATATATCACAAAATAAATATTTAAAAAGAATGATAAGTTTGTTTGATATTTTTGGTTGGTACTTGTGGTTGGAGTGCACTAGTTTTGTAGAGGTATCAAAATTTTATCACAGGTGTCAAATGAGTATTTGATAACCCAATTTGATAACAACGCATTGGAGTTGCTCTTAGTTTCAATGTACTTCTCTTCCCCCCTTATGTCAAGAAAACTAAGCTATGCACTTATTTTACCTGTCTCATTAATTTTATTCTTTCCTGCCCTCAGATGTTTGTCAGGTAGTGGTTTCCTTATTGTAATAAGTAAATATGTACTATTAATTTGATAAACAAATTTACTCGTCCTTCCAGGGGAGAACCAAAGTGCTGGTACAGTGTCCCTGGTAATGAAGCTGATGCTTTTGAAAAGGTATAGCTCCTTTATTTATTATCAGCCTTTCTGTTGTAGTGAATACTTATGCAGATAAATTAGCAGCGCTTGTGGCTAAAATTGAGCCGAGACTAAGAAAACACTGAGGCATATTAATCAAAATTTGGTGACGTATTTTCTCCTAAATTCTGATAATATGTAAACCCGAATTAGATAATGGTTTTCTTGAGGGCCGGGGCCTTCGGGGCCTCGGGCTCTTCTCGGCAAGTTAATATGATATTTGGAGAGGTGACTAATTAATCCTCCGTGCAATTTTTAAGTTCTTCCGTCTATGCTGCGCTCCAAGATATCTCTGTTTCAACATTTTCAGTTACAATATTTTTTTCATTTTTATGTTTAAATCTCCTTGTTCGGGAAGTGTTGCTTCAATTCCTTGGTTCTATTTTTTCTTCATAACATTGTCATGGTTATGCTTATTTCTTTCAAATTTACACGTGCTGGAGTGCATTATGGTCTAATATGTGAAGATAAACCTTATTGCTAGGATTTTTCATTTTCATTCTTGGCCGGCATGGTGCTTGACTGCTTTCCTTTATGTGTAGGTAATGCGAAATAGTCTGCCTGATTTGTTCGAGACACAACCAGACCTATTGTTTCAACTCGTTACCATGCTGAATCCCAAGGTGTTGCAAGAAAAAGGAGTCCCAGTTTACAGCATTATTCAGGTATTGTTTTAGTAATTTTGAACTAAACAACAGATACTCTCTGTCATAGTGGGATTTAGTAGACATTGTATTAGTATTCTTGAAATTGGTTATAGCTGTTTTTGGCAGTTGGTTTGTTTTGCATTTTAATGAAATCAAACTTTAATGAATTCAAAGTATAGATCTATGTAAATTCTATCTAACAGATATTTTATGGTTTGTTGCTGCACTTTACCCTGGATTTCCTCATTTCTTTTTCCCAGTTCAGTTTTTTTAATCTGATTCTTGTCTTTGAACTTAAGATGGTGAGGGGGCAATGTAAATCTCAATTTTAGTTCAGTTTATCCGTCGCGCTTCATAAATGAGCTTTTGCATAGCTAGATCCAGGGAGAATTTAGGCAGATGGGTTCCTTGTATTGCGTAAATGTTAGTTGATTATATCTGATCATAAGCGACTATAAACAGTTGAAAATTTGTTCAAAATTTGCTGTCAGATTAAGAATAATATTGAACAGATCTTAACTTGCTACTTAACTGAGTTGTAGCATCTTGGCTTATCATATTGCCTGTAATCGTGTGTCCATAGTCATTTTATAAGATCCCTGTTCATGTCTATTTATACTTTAACCTCTTTGTTTTTCAATATTTTGAGGAACTTTTAAATATTGCAGAAATAGAACTGTTAACTTTTACGATCTGTAGTGATCCTTTACTTCTTACCCTTGTGATGTGCTATGCATATACACTGCTTTAATTATATCATTTGCCTTGGCAGGAGCCTGGAAACTTTGTCATCACTTTTCCCAGGTCTTATCATGGAGGATTCAACCTTGGTAAGCAAAAAATGGCTTATTACTTGTTTGCCTCTCTTGGCTTCGGTTTCAAGGTTCAGTAAGGGCAGCACATTAACTATAATACACTAATTTACCTCTGTTGCACCTAAATTTGGAATCCATGGTTCAATTTTATTATCGCAGGCTTGAATTGTGCCGAGGCTGTCAATTTTGCCCCTGCTGATTGGCTACCTCATGGCGGTTTCGGAGCTGAGCTATACCGTAATTATCATAAAGTGCCTGTTCTGTCTCATGAGGAGCTCCTATGCGTGGTGGCTAAGGTTCAGTGATCGACTTTGTTGCTGCTTCATTTTGACTTCTGTTTATTTGACTATTTTTAGCATCTTAACGAGAGAACAATATATCAACAGATGCATTGAAGATAAAACATTCACAATAATTTAGGTTCAAGATTTTGTTGAATGAATCTGGTCTGTGTTTGTCATATAAGCAGCCATGTGGTCTGCTATACTTTGGATTGGGGGACTTGGTGGCCCTGGATAACTGGCCATTCGATCTCAATGTGTATAATGTTGCATCTTTACGCATATTTGCTACACACTACATATGCATTCATGTGTACATATTTGTCTATTTTCATATATTCGCATGAAACTGTCTTTAATTTAATTCTGTCTTGGTGTACGTGAATAATCATGCTCAAACTATATGTTGCCATGTCATTATCTCTGATGATGTTGCCTGGTGATTACCAGCTTCTCATTTTTCACATCCTGCTTTTAGTTGTAATGATTTTTAGTTGTTGAATTTTCGTTATACGTACATATATTTACAGTTGTAATAATTCTAGCAATGTCCATATTTTTAATAGACGCATACACACATATGTGATTTTAGTTGTTATATTCATGTGCAGAGTGAATTAGATAGCAGAACATCAACTTATTTAAACAAAGAGTTGCTTAGGATATACAGCAATGAAAAAACTTGGCGGGAGCGGCTGTGGAAAAATGGCATCATTAGATCTTCTCCCATGACACCTCGAGTTAAGCCTGATTATGTTGGTACTGAAGAGGTATACACGACACTATTGGTTAATCTTCACCATTTGCAATTTGTAATATCAGAGTGAGGTTGTGTCTACTGCTGACTAGTCTGTCTCCTTTCTTTGAAGGATCCAACGTGCGTCATATGCCAACAATTATTATACCTTTCTGCTGTTTCTTGCAATTGCCGACCATCCACTTATGTGTGCCTAGAGGTGGGTTATCAATATCATGACATACTAGCTGTATATATTTTCTACAGTTCTAGTATTTTATTTAGCTGCATCTGCAAAATCTTTTAAGCTAGCGGTTTGATCATTAGTTCTACCAACCCTAGTAATGGACGGATTGCTGTAGTACTTATAATCCCTGCTCCACCCACCGCAAACGTTTGTAGCTCTTAATTACAAGAAATTGCACACACCAATGGTTGTAGTTTTTATACAACACATGCAGGACTTGGGATAATTTTCTAACTGAATACATTTATTATTTTGATAGACATGGCCATATTTTGATTATGACATTGAGGTAAATCATTGTACTACTATTTGTATGATTGGAAAAAGATAGAAATAAATTGGCCAAAATGGAAACATCATGTGGCTTAATAAAACCCAATTCTTATTCAATGGTCCAAAAGTGAAATCTTAGATTTGAACAATTTTAAGGATATTACTCCCAATCTTTGAAGGATTTTACTTGGATTAGGATTTTACAAGGTAATGGTAGTAAAATTGTAAGATATTAGGATTTGAATCTCGATTTTGAGTACCAATGATTCAAATCTTTGGTGAACTTTGTAAGCGATTCACTTTCTTCCAGTATGCCGCCCACCCCCCAGTATGAAGCATCAAGCAATGAAACTCACTCTAATTTTCTTGCAGCACTGGGAGAACCTTTGTGAATGCAAGCGAAACAAACTTCGTCTTCTGTACCGTCACTCTCTGGCAGAATTGAGTGGCTTGCTGGTTAGTGTACATAAATATAATGCAGTGGAAGCAGCTGGTGAATCACGAAAAGATATGTGCTCAGAGAAAGTGGTAGCATTAGCGAAAAAGGTTCGAGTATTATTCTTATTCATGATCATTATATTAAGCAGAATGTTTTTGTCCTTTTAAAATTTTTATTTACTTGAAAATCTTTAGTTATTGACACCTCTATCTTGGACTCCGAATAGGCCAACTTGAATGACTTTTTTTTTTTGTTGTTGTTCCCGTTTAAGAGTGAACCTGTCATTTTTTTGGCCTAATATTGGTATAATGCACAATATCTTTTTAGGATGTTTGGTTGCAAGCAGGTGGAATTTGATTTTCCAATCGAAATGTTGAGTCTGAACTTCACATTGAAATTCAATCATACTAGTTTTTATGGCATAAATTTATATGCAGCTAGAAGAAGCTTGTATAACCTGCCACAATTCTGGCATAGAAATCCTTTGCAGTATGTCTTTGTAACATTTATGTATACCCTTATCTCACTCTCCATGTTTAGGTTAAGGGTCATCATGTCACACATTTGCAACTTGCTGAAGAGTGGATTTTGAAGTCATGTAAGATTCTTGAGCTTCCATACTCTAAGCATGCTTATGCCAGTGCAATAGAAGAAGCAGAGCAATTTCTTTGGGCTGGTTCTGAGATGGATCTTGTAAGCCTTAATTCTTTTTGTTTATTTCTGGTTTCAATCAGATTTATTATTGATGCCTTTGATTTATCTATTCTCTAGGTCCGAGAAATTGAAAACAACTTGATTCAAGCAAAAAATTGGGCAAAAGCTGTGAAAGATTGTTTTTCTAAGGTGAAATCATGGTCCAACAGTCGTAATTGTAAGACCGAGCGAGTGCAGATGGATCGTATTAATGAGTTGCTCAATTTAAAAACTGCTCCATGCAACGAACCCAGCCACCTTCAGTTAAAGGTTTGATTTCTTCATTGGCTTTACTACTTTTCCTCTTTACTTTTATGTTTTGGATGCTGGAGCTGAATGCTTTTTGCTGATTTATATGTAGGAATACCAAGAAGACGCTAATATATTGATTCAAGAAATCAATACTTCTCTCAGTTCTTCAGAATATTCCGTAAGAAAGTTACCATTTACTTATTTTCCTCAATATTCTTTTGGGTGCTAGATACTAATCAATTCAAACTTAAAATATATTTTCTCTACATATTTGCGCATTTTGCTTGTCACAACCTTAATACTGGTTAAGCGACATAAGCATAAACATGTTTGCCTCGATGGTGAAGAATTGAGATTACTTTGTTCGACCTTCAATTCACTTCATACCCTTTTAATTATTTCAGGTATCTGATTTGGAGATTTTATATTCGAAAGTTGTTGACTTACCTATCTACATAAAGGAAAGTGAGAAACTAAAGCTCAAGCTGTCGGCAGTGAAGGTTCATTTTTTTAATTATTTATTATTGATATACGTTTGCATTTGTAGCAAAGATGTTAACATTTTGGCTATGTTTTATTCTTTGATCAGTTAGAATCTAGTACCATTTTCGGAAGTTTTGCTGATTAACATTGATTTTGAGGATCTGTGATTTTCTTTGTTTACTCTGAGGGACTTGCATGCTTTCTTGGAGTGGAGGGGAAATTTGAATAGGGCCTTTAGATTTACTGAACTGACAATGAGTCTTAACACCTCTACTTTTCTTGAGATGACATTTGTTCTGATGCATCTTCCGCTTATGTTTGGTTTACTAAGACAGTGGGCACATAGTGTTTTTTTCCTTTACCATTGGTTTATGATTTTGTTTCTTCACTTGGCTGGCGTTTTGATGTATATTGCCCTGCATCTGCGTTAGGTTTGGGTGGACGATGTGAGAAATTGCATCTCTCTGAAAGCTCCTTCATTGGTTGAGGAGGATATGTTATACAAGCTGGAGTTGGAGGTAATTAAAATGCTCTCTCATCATTGGCTTTCTCCTCTCTCTTACAGCATGCGTAACACTCTTATAATGTCCTCTGATATTAAATTCACACCTTGTCGTTTTACGTTGGTATATTTTCCAGATGTTGGACCTACATATCCAGCTTCCTGAAGTTGATCTGCTCGCCAATTTAATAAGGCAAGTCAAATCTTGTCGGTCTCGGTGCAATGAGATTTTGAAAGATCCTATTTGCCTAAAGGTTGTGCTTTCAGATACTTATGTTTCAGAAAATGCTGTTGACGTGGAACTTTTTACTGAAAACTGTTTCCTTTTTTGGGGCAGGAAGTCAAACTATTGCTCAATGAATGGGAGGCTTTTACTGTTAATATTCCAGAGCTAAAACTTCTTAAAAAATATTATGGTGATACCATATCATGGATATCACGTGTCGATCTTATCCTTATGAATGTTCACGAACGAGAGGATCAAGAAAATGTAGTTGATGAGTTAACCTCCATCAAGAGCGACGGGTTATTGCTTCAAATTCAAGGTACTGTCAGTGAACCCATTTCTGGGTTCTTTTGAAAAGATTAGCATTGTTGCATATGTTATTTATCGGAATTATCCTATCTTTTCATACTTATGAGTATTTTCTTTTTCCTGTTAACATAGTCGACGAGTTACCCCGTGTTGAGCTTGAGCTTGACAAGGCACAGTGCCGTGTTAAAGCATACACGGTAAGTTGGCGACTGCTGTTCTTTCAAACTTTGATGTGCTAATCCTGTTCTTACTGTAATGTTTTTTGGTATTCCATCTTCTTAGTTTATTTGCCTCTTTGAGTACCTGTAATGAATATGATATGCTTCACATGTCAGCCTGGTTTCCAATAGCATCGTTATCTTTGCAGTCAGTACATCATATATTGAATGCCATTGTTTTTCAGTTTCTCAGGGCTTGGGTTTTGAAGACATGATTGGTTTTGTTAGTAACTTCTGTAGTACTGAATTGTTTTTGAAATTATCTTCACATCTTCAATACAGGTACTTCGTTCTCAAATGTCCATGGACTTTGTTCAGCAACTGATTTTAGAAGCAGCCAAGTATGTTTCTCTGTTCTGTGATTTCATTTAAGGACGTTTATTTTTGCTTAGAATTTAGCATCTTTATATGGAATGAGATTAGTGTTGAAGTTAGAACTGTATGTATTCATCAGATTACAGATTGAGAAAGAGAAGGTTTTTGCTGATATCTCCCAAAGACATGTAGCTGCAGTGGACTGGGAAGACAAAGCAAAACAAGTTCTTGCTACTAGTGCTTGTTTGTCCTCCTTTGAGGACATTTTGAGGTTTTGCTTTTGAATTTTCCTCGTCTTAAATGTTGTATCTATGTACTGGGCTTTTGATATTTGAATACAAAACCTTCAGGGCTTCTGAGCACATTGGCATTATTCCACCTTCTCTTCTGGATGTCAAGCTTGCAGTATCAACAGCTAAGGATTGGTTAATAAAGGCTGAACCATTCCTATTTCAGGATTCAGCCATCATGTCAACTTCAAATTCTTGTCTTCAAGTTGATGTTTTGAAGGTTCATTCTCTTAATGTTATTTGGCCATTGTCACAGTTATGAATTTTTCTTGATGATTTCATAATTTTGTAGGAGTTGGTGTTGGAGTCAAAGGACCTGAAGGTACATTTGGAAGAATGTTCCTTGCTTGAAAACATCTTGAAGAAGGGTATGGAATGGGAGCAGGATGCTAGCTGTTTACTACAGAATGCGGAGCAGTTACGGAATATTAACATTATTGGTGAGGGCAGTACTAGTTGTCTTGTACCCAACCTGGAACGCCAAGTTCTTTTAATCGAGGCTGCCATGGAAGCCGGTATTTCTCTTGGGCTCGAGTTCAACATGACTCTAAAGCTTCAAGATGCTTGTTCTATGCTCAAGTGGTGCATTAAAGCACTCTCCTTTTCTACTAGTATTCCTAGTCACGAGGTGATTATCCTTTGATCCCGATTTACTAAATTCAAATATCACATGGCTGCAGATTTTATGATGTTTTCTTGTTACTTGCTATATTGTTGTTGTATTGATGTATAATTTGCCAGAATTGCATGGACATCTCTTCTTTTCAATTATCTAAGCTTACCACTGATTTATATCATTATCTATGAACAGATCTTTAAATTGTATTATAATTCTCTTTTAAGAACTTTGAAGATTCTTGAAAATTGTTGTTGGTATTTTCATCCATAATCATCCATTGGAGTTTTGGTTTAATGTATTTTATCATTTTATACTTCTGTGAATGAGGGATCAGCTGATACACCACTTTATTTGTAGGAAGTTGAGATGATGTTAGACGCGTCTTCCAACCTTCCCGTAGTATTTATATCTTGTGCTTTGAGCACTGCATTGACCGATGGCTTAAGCTGGCTTAAGAAATCCTTTGAAGTTCTTGATCCCAATAGTCGTCGTCAATTTGAAATCAGCAACGTTGAGGAACTCCTTGCTCTATCTAAGGTCTCTACGATTGGATTTTGTGCTGTTTGTCTATGTATATTAGAAAATATTCGATCCACTTGTTCTCTGCTTTTTTAGCGAGATTTTTCTTTCCTCCACGTGTTTCATCTGTAAACAAATGTCTTGTATTTTGTATTTGCAGAGATTGTGCATCTCATTTCCAACATTTATTGGTCGTCTTCAGAATGCAATTGAGAATCACAAGTAAGTTTGTCCTTTTTATTGAAACATAAATTCAGTAAGCTTTGTCCTTTTATTGAAACATATATACTGGCTCATTTCCACCCTGTACACATAAACTGATCATCTCGGGTCATGTAAAGCAAAAGTATTAATTATCAAAATGTTCATAGGAAGGCCCTAGTTGCTTACTGAAAAAAATATGGTATTTGAATATCCTCAATTACGTTAAGAAAGCACAGAGCTTTAAGTTTTGCGAACGAATTCTTGTGCGTGCAGCAATTACTTTCTTGGGGTCAATCTCTTGTCTGTGGTTCTTGTTTTCTTTTGATTCTGATAGCAATAAAAAGAAATATTAGCTGTGGTACCTGCTACAGGAAGGACGTAAGTGCATAAAAAAGTGGAATAAGCTCTACAATATTGTTTGAGGATTTTGTGCCCCGGACCCACCTTCATTTTATCTTGGAAATAACTACTTTATCACATTTTCTATGATCACTTTATCTCAGTTGTGACAACATGAAAAATAAGTCTTTGTGCAATATTCTGTCATTTACCTAGCCAAAGATATCTGTCCTGGACCTCCAGTTTCACTATGATTCTGTTTACATAGCACACGGGGTGTGGTACTCGTTGCATATAGTGGATTTTTCAATTGTCATTAGTTATATAACATATTTTGCTTATATATAGAATATTAGATAACACCGTGGACTGTACACTAATCAAGTAATGTTCTGTAGTAACATTTTTACTCTTTTCATAGTTTGTGGATAGATCAAGTTCATCTGTTTTATGGACTCAGCTGTGAAGATCGATCATGGAATATGTTGCTACAGCTGAAGGTAATACAATGTAGCTTTTTATTTGGTCTGGTAGTTAGCATTTTTTTAGGGCTATTTTACATGTGTCATTGAGTTGCCTTGCACCGATTTTATATAGATGTTTCTCAAGCCATTTCTGTGAATTAGTCATGTTGAGTGTCCTTCATCTTAAAAGTTGTTCCTGGGATTACCTCCTTGAGAGTTCCTTTGTTTTAAAACATTACTTGGACTATTCCTCCACCATAATTGTTACTATGCCAGTTTTTTTTTTCTCCTTCAATCAAGCACCCGCACGGTGGGTGGAGGATTAGCTTAGTATTAATTAAATCTGCTCATAGAAGTCATACATAGTGACAACGTTCCAAAAGTGACCTAGTCGTAAAAACATAAAGTACAAATAGGATGTAGATCGATAACAAAGATAAAAAAAGTTGTCGGCTAAAAGGATCCATCCTTGAAAACCTATCAAGTATATCAAAGCTAACCGAACAAACATAGGGCACCTGAAAATAACCATCCGCTGCCCTGCATAGTCTAATAATCGATGCTACAAGTATATCATCTAGCAAAGCCAATTTCACATGCCTTCTTTTACATTTGAAGTTGTCTCATTTTCGCTTTATACAAACATTCAGGAAGATGGAATTTCTAACGCATTCAGTTGTGGAGAACTAGAGAAGGTTCTTTATGAAGCTGAAAAGGTTGAAAAGTGGAATCAGCGCTGTGCAGACATAATTAAGCCTCTACCTGCTGAAGAAAATCCGCTGCTTAGAGCTCTCATAGATGTTTGTGCCGATAATTTATTATTGTTCGTATACAAGTTGATATTTGAGCCTTTTCTTTTTATATACAGCACAATAACCTTTTCTCTTTTTTCAGTTAAAAAACTCCATTGAAAGATCCTTTGAGGTGTACAGTAATTCTAAGCTTGGGGAATCAACGAATTTATGTATGTGCTGCTTCAGTTCGATTGACGATTGTGCCCGTTTGACTTGTTCTATTTGCAAGGATAGGTAAGCTTTGTAGTTCCATCTTGTAAAGTTCGGGTATGCTGAAACATGGAAATCGATGAATAGCTTTTTAGCAATTAGCAATGCATGGACCTTCCATCCTCTTTTCTCTTTAGTTGAAGTGGCTGGAACTGCCTTCCAGCTTTCTTTGATTAACATTTTATCACCTTCCTGATACGTTTTCTATTACACAGTTTTCACTTGCAGTGTGCAGAAAGATCTTTGGAAGATACAGTTTTGTCCTTTTGCCGATATTGCAACTTTATAAACAGTTCAAAACTCCCTCGTAGTGGAAGCGGTTTTCTGGTATGTGATTGGTTTTTATCTTTTCTGTAGAGAGAATAAACGGAAGCTTTCCTTTCTGACCTCATTTCTCCACATGCAGAGAACTGGACGGAAGCATCTTACATTAGATAAGCTTACCTTTCTTCTCTCCGAGTCCAGTGATCTGTTTCTGTGGTAGGAATTCCTCTCTTTTTATTGAATTTTTTTTTATAAACTTGATGAATTCTTGCCGAGGCACATTTTTGCACAACTTTTTCATTGTTCAAGACTGGCTACGATACTTTGCCATTATGTGGGGCCTCATACTGTTTAATAGTCTGACTTCGTTTAGAACATTGTACCTAAATGTCAACTAAAATGAGGAAGCTGCAAGCTGGATGGATATTTATTTGAATATGTTATACTAGATATAATCAATTGGGTGCCCGTGCGTCTATGAATTGTTTAAATCTTATATCTCCACATATATCTGGAAGGTGTCTAATTGATCTCCTCTTTGCCATTGTAAATATTAATGTGTTTCATGCATTTTTTTTATGGATGCATCTTTGCCTTAATTTGATCATCTGTAAAGAAGATGAAAAATACTGCTATTACGGTATCTTAATGAATGAACTGGATGAATCTATTGTTTTGGACAGGACTGACGAACGGAGGATATTAAGCCAAATTGTTGAGAAAGCACTTGCATGCAATGCTAGCTTGACAAAACTAGTGAATTTTTCATTAGCTTATGTTAGCCAAGATCTCAATGTCGTCTCCCAGAAAATGTGCATTGCTCTGAAGGTACTGGTCAAAGATTCTCGTTTGTTCTGTCACTAAAATAGCTTGATAGAAATGTTGTAACTGTTACATGTCTTGTATATCCTTTGACCATTAAGCTAAATTTTGGTTGACATTTCCTTTTGGATCTATATTCCGGTGGAAGCAAGAATATATTTTGAAGTAGTTTCTATTTTTGCAGGCCATGGATGTTGGACGCATTGGTGATGATGAGGGAAATCGCTTATTTGAGCTTGCACTAGGTAGACATTCATGGAAAATCAAAGCTAAGAAATTATTGGGAAGCGGGGAAAAGCCCACGCTTCAACAGATTCAGCATCATCTGAAAGAAGTACATCCACTCTATCTGCTTTTTATTTTTTCCTAAAGAAATCTTGTCAAAGTTTTTTATTTTATTTTTATGATCAAATAATTCAAACTGGTCTAGTAGGCATGTGAATAGATAGATATTACAATGAAACTCAAAATAAATGCTTTTATCAGATGATTTTACCTTGTAAATGCTTCAGGGACTGGCTATGAATACTCCTCCAGAAGATTACTTCGCTCAGAAACTGACGGTATTAAGGAATACGGGCTTGCAATGGGCTGATACAGCCAAGAAGGTTTCAGGGGATGGTGGAGTGCTTGGATTGGATCGAGTTTTCGAACTTATTTCCGAGGGGGAAAGTTTACCCGTGTCTTGTGCAAAGGAAATAAAGGTAGAATCAATGATTTTTCATAGCTAATGCTCTCCTATGTACTATTTGTGCTGATGCCTTCTATTTGTGCAGTTACTGAGGGATCGAAGCATGCTTTATTGCATTTGTCGAAGACCCTATGACCAGAAAGCTATGATTGCTTGCGATAAATGCGACGAATGGTATCACTTTGATTGCATTAAAATCTCTTCGGCGCCAAAGGTTTACATATGTCCTGCATGCAATCCCGGTTTCGAGGAAAATACAAGTGCCCCGGCACGAGCCACACATGAGAGGCAAGTATTCTCTAATGTTTATATATATATATATATATATATATATATATATATATATATATATATATATATATATATATATATATATATATATATATATATATATATATATATATATATATATATATATATATATATATATATATATATATATATATATATATATATA